TCAGCTCACGTGCATGCGGACGCCGTCTCTCGCGGCGTCCAGACTACGAGTTGACCCAAATCACACGGGTGACAACGAATCTATATGATTGGATGTGCGTGTCGTGTCACGTCTATCGTCAAGTTCCTAGCAGCAGGAATGGACGCAAAGTCCGACTGACTTTCGTTGCGACAGCGTTTCCTTTGTTGCATACGATCACGGCCGTTGGATGGGGACACGCACTTGATTAGTTAGTGAAGCTTGGCTTCCGAGACCTAGCTAATCAGTCCACCTCTTACCTAGTATTTTGAGTAAACTTGACCCGTGGGAAACCGTCTATAACCCATAGGAGAACCGAGGTTTTGTGGAAATTCCAACCCATTTGGGACAAATACTAATCCCCACTCTGGTACAAGCCCACTTTGAGAAGAAAAAAAATGTTGGGCCGGGCTCGCTCTTCTCCGAGAGGACTCCGAGTCCTGAGCACCGTGCTCGTCTGCGTTCTTCTTCGATGAAACCACGAATGCCGTGGTTCTCCCCAAATCGGAAACAGCCGGTTCGCCTTTCTCGGTCCTCCGAACCGGTTAATCGAACCGTTCACTTTCCTTTGTTGCATACGATCACGGCCGTTGGATGGGGACACGCACTTGATTAGTTAGTGAAGCTTGGCTTCCGAAACCCCCCTGTGGCACGTCGAATAGATCGGGGCACTCCCAAGTTGACGCTCGAATCATGTGCTGTGCAACGTCCTTCAGCATACCGGGCCTGAGACGATTGTACACTGAGAAACACCAACTTGACCACCGTCCCATGAGTTTGATAACGAGTTCGCTTTTTCCGGCCGCCAGAAGAGCACATGCCCCGCCGATGCGTAGGGAGTGAGTGGAGTATTCCTGTGGGTCGGCTCCTGATGCCTTTGCGGCCTTCTTGATCGCTTTTGCCACCGTGGTCTTCTTGATCGTTTTGGTCCGGCTCACTGACGTTAGGAAGCTAGCGAGTTGCCTGCCTTGGTTCAACCAGCGACTCCTGACGAGGAGGCATAATTCTGCAGCTTCCACTGGGCATAGTCCTGGTAGCCCCGAGCGGTAGTGGCGGATTGTGTTTCCTTGTCGAGTCGGATCTCCCTTGTGGGATCTGTAGATAATTTCCACTGAGGTCACGTCTCCGGACCCCGGCTCCGTGCTTCGGCCCGAAACGGTCGCGCAGTACAACGTCGGCTGCCTTCACGCAATGAGAGGTATCTCCGTTGAGGTTATCTTGGTTATGGGTCCCCAAAGCTCCGAGCTCCGGTCGAGGAAGAGAATCCGATGACGATCGAACC